ATTTTGGCTGTTGTATGCTCCGCCCTTCTTCAGGTGATTAGAATTTCAAACCAAACCCTTTATTTCATCCACCAGAAGGTCATTTCATAGTAAATGCAGGTACTACTACACACTGGACTGAAACTATTTTACCTTCTGAATTATTAAGCAGCAGAATTCAAGAGCATTTTTTAAAATTCCAAACTTATTTCTATTTGACTTGGTTGAAAACTAAATAATAAAATAACATCTTTACTTATGACTAAAAAAAGTGGCTTGCTGGGAGCCCTCTATGAATGATAGACTGCTGGCTTAACAAAAAAACTGGGAGATGATACAAAGTACTCAAAATGATACAGAATCAACAAGGTATGCATATATGATCTTCCATACAATAAAAGAGGGATTCCAATAAATCCTAAAGAAAATACCGATGCATTCATTTGGGTAAAGTTTCAATTACAAATAGATTAATTCTGGTTAGTTTTGAAAATTTGGCAATGTTTAACATTTGTGCCCACAAAAAAAAACACTGTGTCAAACGTACAATTATCCCCTTGACACAGCTATTACTGTAAACACTTTTGACTCCCTTTTGATAGTAGTATCATAATATTGGTAAAATATGAAATGGATCCCTGACTTTGAAAAGTTATTGAAGTCACATAATTTTTACATTTTTTAAACTTTTAGCATTTTTCAAGAAATTTTTCAACATTTTAATTTTTTTTTTCTCTTGCTAGATTGTTTCATAAGCACATGCACAAACTTTAGTTTCATTGATATTTTTATAAAGCTATGAATAAAAACTTGTTTTCATAATTATTTATAAATATTGCATTGTAGTTGGTTTACATAGTTTGATAATTTTGTCATTTTTTATAAATTTTTGAATAAAAAGATTTCTTTCCAAATTTATTTTTTTATATAATGGTAAATAATAAATCTTTATAAAAGGTAAATAATAAAAATCGCATTGTACTTGGTTCATATATTTTTATTATCTTGTAAATAATCATTACTAGGAGGAGTTAAAATTGTATAAAATAATAGCAATGTCAAGGGAATAATTGTGCCCACAAAAATTTGAATAAACATAGGATATAAACATAAATTAAAAGACTGTTTGGTTCAGAAGAAGAGATGCTCTCGACCTATTTCAGTGAATTTATGTGGCAAGTGAAAATGAAAGAAATACCCAGAAAATTAATTTTTCTAATGATTTTTTTCTTTTTCTTTCAGATTTAACAACTTAAGTCTTTGGCAATTTCAACCATGGAAAGATTAACAATCAAATGTTTTAAAATGATCGAAGCCTTCTTAAAAAATCTTTTTGTCAAAAAAAACGTTATTTGGCCAAACAAACAACTGCTGTTGAGTGTTTAAAATATTTTCTTAAAATAAAACACATAAAACCTACAAAAAAAAGCAATGCCTAAGTTTAAAATGCATTTTAAAAAATTAAAAATCTTTCATGAAGCTTATGTTTTAGTTTTAATTCCAAGCTAAATATATTTCCAATAAGCAAAATGGTGTATTTCAAAACAAATTTAAATTAATTGGAATTTTTTCACCTTATATAAGTAAAATCTATAAATTTGTCTATATTGACAGATCTGTCAACACAACATAATTCTCTTTATTAAAAATCTTTCAAAAATAAAATATACTTTTCTAAAAAGTTATTTCAGAAAAAATAGTTGATTTAAAGTTTAATTAATCTGAATTGAAACAAATATTATTTGCTTTTAGTTTTAAAAAAAATCACCAAAAAGCATTTTCTTTTTAAGAAGGTGGGGCACTTTCTAACATGTCTAATGATTTATTGACAACCTGCTGTTTGGGAAATTTAAGTAATGGGCACATAATTGATAATTTAAATGCCTTTTTATATAATTTTAATCTTAAGAATTTAAAATACTTTAAGTATTCTAATATTTTATTGAATTTTATATACTTTAATTTGATAGCCTTACTTACAAAGTCGCTTGTTAGGAAAATGTTATAAAATTACCAATAAATTTTAAATTTACTATAGGTACCTCTCTTATTTTCTGATAGTTGAGTATGGATATATGTATTTATAAAAACTGACATATTTATACACGCATAAGATAAAATTCAAGATTCTTTTTAAAATACTGCGGTCATTGACTTGTACTAAGCTTTTCTATTTATGATTAGTAAATACAGTTTTAATTTAATAACAATATCACTCGACCACTACAAATTAATACAGAATGTTAAATGATTTAAAGTTTATAAATTATACTAATTAAAACTTTGAAAAATGAAAACTATTCTTGTAAAAATTCATTATTCATTGAAAATATTTTTCTTAAGGCAATAGTGTCTATAATATATTTTATACATAAAAGCAATTAAAAGATTTTCTAATTAAATAATGTTTTAGTTTTATTGCATTTTTATTTTATGATTCAAAGCAGTTTTTTGCAATGTGGAGGTCCTGTTTAACCCCAAAAATTGTATTATCTAAATTCTTCAAGGACTTATCCGTATAACTAATATCATCATTAAGCAATACAAAAAAGAATTTCATGAAATTTGATGAAATATATATATATATATATATATATGAGGAGGACACTTTGACATGGTGTAATGGTTAGCAAGCTTGCTTCACTAGATCTATTACGTAATAGTAAGTTCGATCCTCACTGGGTGCTCCACACTTTTGGCCGTGTGCCACATCTAAGCTACACTTAGAAAATCATAGGGGCACCACATCATGGTATAATGGTTAACAAGCTTGTCTCGCTAAAGCAGTTGTGACTGAATAATAAGTTCGATCCCCATTGTGTGCCCCCATACATTTGTCCCTGTGCCACATCTAAGCTATGATTAGAAAATCAATATATATGTTGACAAGGATTTTATAAAAAGGAAGCATTTCAAAAAAATAATTTCATTGTTGTGAATAAGTCCTGAAAGTTTGATTAAAATCCAAGAATTATCTCATTTTTGCAAGAATTTCCAAATCAATGTTTTTCATGACAACAAAGATGCTTAAATTTCCCATACAAATTAATGGTCCTTCATTGAAACCAGAAAAACAAGATTTTTAACCAACATTTCCAAAGCTCTAAAAAGGATATTAAAAAAAAATTTTTACATAAAAAAAAACTCCTTTGACCTTACCTTTTAATAAAGGTAAGGTCACAACGATTTTGACAATAAAATTTTTCTTTTATTATGTTTGGGTCATTTTTTTCCTCACATACACTCTCTTTTGGCAAATCTTTGGAGGTACCTAACTTTGTAGGAGAGTTATAAATCTGAGTAAATAATTATAAACCCCTCACAGTTAATTATACAAAAGTACTCCTAAGAAGGTAAAACAGAAAACTGGGAAAACAACAAAATGAGTATTGATTATTATCTTCTGTTTATGCAGTGTTGGAGAAACAAGAGACAGTAATACTGAGTAAAATTGTGAGTTGTAGATCAAATATGGATCATAATCTCACAGAATGATAAGATAAAGAATAAGTAAAGTGTATATAGTCTGTCATGTATGTTTTTTTTTTATAAATGCTTGTAAAGAAGGTCCAAATAATTTAGTTGGAAAAATACAAGAAGTGTCTTGGGATTTCTTACCTCAAATGTACCCCAAAACAAACCAGTTCCCTGAGATAAACCACCAATGGTTCAATGAATATTGTGTGATAAACCCCTTTTTTTTCTTCTTTTTTTTTTAAATACTTTCATCATTACAGCTTGTCCGTGATCATCCAGATCATGGTTGGTCTTCAAGTGATGTTTCATGCTTGAAAGGCGAATAAGACTTGTGTTTTGCATCAAGCTTCTCCTTTAAAAGCATCTTGAAGTATTACAGGTTTCAGCTGGGGATTTCCTTAAAAAAGAAAAAATATTTATGTATATTTTCTTTTTTTTATCAGCTCTTTTGAAAATCGACAAACATGTTTGTTTGTAAATACCAAAAAAACAGCCAGATGAAATTATCTGTCAATCAAGAACAACACCATGTTGCAAACAGGCTCAGTATAATGTCTAACAGTGTACAACTATGTCCAATTACTGTGCTACATTAAAATTCTTTTCTTTTTTTGTACATTCTTATATTAATTTAATGTAATGATAATGCAATTGAAAATAAAAAGTAACTTAACATTTACAAATCTGGTTGACCATTACTATTAATACTAAGTACTGAATCCAATTCTCATTGGATTTCTTACTTGCATTATTTACATTATTCAGACCTCATCATGCCATATTCACAACATTTCAGCCATTGTATGCTCCAGCTTTCTTCAGATGATTGGAATTTCAAACCGAGCCCTTTATTTCATCCACCACATGCCATGCCTCTTTCAGATGTCTCAGTTATTTCCCTTAAACTCAACTCTCCAAGTTTCAGTTCACCACTGCTGTGACCTGGTATTGAACTCACAACTATTTGGGTCTAGTCACTGGGTCTAACCAACATCTTTATCCACTGATCCATGTTTCCTACATTTGTGACTTTGTACCAAACTAAATTAAACACACTAAATTTCAAAAAGGACTTTTATGTTGACAATTGTTTCCCAGTTGGTAATTAAATAAAAGTAACAATAATTTTATTCTCAATTTTAAGATATTATTTTAGAGTCTTTATTTTGAAGGGGTTTAAAAATAATTCATTTATTACACTTTGTTTAAAAGTCACAGAGAAAAGAAGTAATATTTTAATTTAAAATCCCTTCCTTCTTAGATGCCATCTGTGATACATGTCTTTTCCAATTCGTGATTAACTTGGCAGAATTCCTGCAGTAGGCTGCCATTACTTTCTGCAGTATATTGGTTGCCAAACAAGGCTATAGGACCCAGTCTGTTCTGCTATTCAACCTATGGCTGGGGGATGAAGAGATGGATTCATCCCTATCCCAAGGGTATATGGGTGTAAGTGAATGTAACCAACATGATTGGAATTCCAATTTGACTCTCCAATTCCTCATTCTGACTTGTTATCCATCGCACCACCCACACATCCAAACTTACAGCACCCGGTATTTCCAAGTGGTCTCCCATCTAGGTACTGACCAGGCTCAACATTGCTTAAATTTGGTGATCGGATGAGAACTGGTGTTTATCCATAATATCGTCAGGAGTCATAAGTTGTGAGTGCAATTCTCATTGGATACTAAACTAAATTGAACATAATAAATTATAAAAAAGACTTTAGCGTTGATAATCGTTTCCCAATGAGTAATTAAATAAAAGTAACAATAATTTTATTCTCAGTTGTAAGATATTATTTTAGCTTGAGCCTTTATTTTGAGAAGCTACAAAAATAAAAGTAATTTAGCATGCTTTGTTTAACGAGCCAAAGAAGTAATATTTTAATTTAAAATTAGTAATAGTTTTATTTTAATATATTTTAATAAACTAAAAGTCATTTAATTTATAATAATGTGATAAGTAAACTTAACTAAACTTTAGCGATAACAATTGTTTATTAAAATACTTTTTTAATTTCTGCAAATGAAAAATAGTTCTAATTTACTAAAATATTTAAATTAAGAATTCTGTTGACATTTAGTTTTGTTTTTCTTTACTGCATAAATTGTCTTTTATTTTAAAATATAAATATTGTATTTGTATTTAAAAATTTAAATGAAAATGTTATGACTTTCTTACCCAAATAACTCTGCAAAATGTACTTAAGGACTTTAACCACTAGAATGACAAGCCGAGAGTGACATCATGTCCCATCCACAAATAATGAATGGGAAATTGGCTTGCTGAGTAATAGTTGTAGTAGCCTTACTACTACAATATTCTATTTGTGAATGGTGGAATTTGTAAAATTTATTGTTCACTGTAACTTTTTCTTTCTTTCTTTAACTGATAACAATGTTAGTTGTGTCTGGACATCTGTCAGTTGTTGAATATCTTTGTGATGTTTTACTTATAGACATGTTCCTGTATTCATTTTCTTACCGTGTGCTCAAAAAATAAGTCAGTAAATAAAAGAAATTTATGGGATAAGTGAAATTAAACTTATTTAAACAATAAATAATAAAAAGAAATGAAATTTTCCCTTTTGGCTTGTCATTCTAGTGGTTAGAGAAAATAAAGTCCTTAAGTACATTTTTCCAAGGCCTGTGCAGACTACTACTGATCCTCTTCCCTGCTGACCAAGGTGGGTGGGGGCAAGCCTGGGCAGTGCTTTGTGACTCTCACTATCTTATCAACATTTGCTTTTTTTTCCATCTACATGTTACAAATTAAACTAAAAACACAACTGACTATTAAAGGATGAAACATTTTCGTAGATTTTGATGCTATTCTGAGTTTTTCTTTTTTCATCCAACTCTGTGAATTTGTTTTGCTCATACTAAGTCTTGAAAAAAACACCATATAAAATTCACTATTTCTTTAAAAAAAACATATAAAATTCAATATTTCTTTAAAAAACACCATAAAAAATTCACTATTTCCTTAAAAAAATCCTATTAAAATTCACTATGTCTTTATCCTTAATGTTGAATATGTTAGATTATTCTATTTTTTAACAAGAAAAATTTCAAATTGATGTTAAAAATTGTCACAAAACATTATTAATTTATTTTCAATTTTTCTAGTTGAATTGTTCACCTATATTGCATATTATCAATTATTGTACATAGGTTACAATAAAATTTGTATTTTATAGGAATACTATCTTATAAAATAGATTTGGTTGTGGGGGGGTGCACAAAACCCTTGCATCAGCCCTGGGCAGTGCTTTTGTGACTCTTACTATCTTATCAACATTTACTTGTTTTCTACCTACATTTACAGATGTTACAATTAAACTGAACACAACTGACTATTATAAGAGGAAAATATTTGCAAATTTTGACATCATTCGGGGGTGGGGGATGGAAATCTGTGAATTTATTTATGTTAAGTCTCAAAGAAACACATATAAAATTCACTATTTCTGATCCATAATGTTGAATGTGTTAAAATTAAAATTTTTAACAAGAAAAATCTCAAAAATAGCCATAAAACATTGATTTAAGATGGAATGATCTATTATGACACGTCTTTAATTTGTATCTGGATACATTATATTTATTTTTCAAATTTTCTAGTTGAATTGTTCACCTACATTGCATATGATCGATTATTGTACATAATTAGGTTAAAATAAAATTTATATTTCATATGAATGCTACCTAAGTCTACTACTAGGAAAGTTTGTTCCTGTGTTTTGCTAGACAATTTTCTTGCCAGAATCTATTTTACATATTTATATGTCTACTATTCATCTTTGCTTTGAATATTGCTGCCACATCTGGTCTGGGGTTCCTGCTATATATTTAGAGATTTCTGATTGATGTAATGGAATAACCTGTCATCCCATGATTGTCTACACTATAAGTAGTAACTACTTATAAGTAGCTGTAAGTCAACGGACTACAGAGACTAGCTGTGATTTGTTTCAGCTAGACGGTCAAACTCTCTGTCTGATGAGACTCCACCGAAAGGGCAGAGTTTTGTTCAGGGAGGTAGACTGACCCTGAACCCATTTATGCAGGTTCAAAAAGGGAATATTTTGGGCTGAGCCTATGGGCTTGTAAAACCCACATTAAACTGACCTTGTGCCACATGCAACCTTCGTGGGTAGGTATCTAAATATACTAGCTGCAACCTGTTCCAGCTAAACAGTCGAACTCTCTGCCTCTGAGCAGAAAGGAACCTGAACAAGACTCTGCCGAAAGGCAGTCTCTCGTTCAGAGAGGTAGACTGACCCTGAACCCATTTATATGGGTTCGAAAGGGAATATTTTTGGCCAAGTCTACAGCACTCACTACTGGATTGACTTGCGATTACCTTGTACATAACTGTTGCCTTTATTCTTCTTGTACTGGTTTTTACAAGAAACCTTTACTTATTTTATCCACCGTGTTTTTTAAGTATATATTCCTATTAGCACAGAATATAACACTGATAAAATCCAAAGAATCTGCACTGTTATTGGTTCTGACCTGACATCTTGTATTATGTAATGCTCTATGTATGGAATATTTTGATGAGTCTCGCATTTCTGGAAATTATTTGCTTTTTAACTCTATTTTCTGAAGATTATACTTGCGTATGGTTGCATGAGGGAACAAATGAAATAACAAGGTACCACTGGTAAGGCGGAAAGAAAAGAAAACAAGAATTGTCAAGCTAAAATTGTTTGTATTCATGATATAGAGATTCAAGATGGAATGTCTCTTTGTGGGCAAAGGAAGTAACCTGGAAGATGAGAATATTTGGTTGGGCTTGGCTTTGACACTTGTGCCAGGTCAGTTGACTGAGGTCACTGGTGGTGGCACTGACAGTTTCCCCGCTCACCAGCCAATTCTACTGACAGTGTCGTGAGGCAGCATTCTTAAAAGCAGACTGAGTGGGTCTTGACTCAGCTTATTTTTGTTATGGTTTTGATTGAGCAACAACGTTCATGGTGGCTCCTTTTATATTGTATTTTATATTATTTTCTGCGAGGGGATTTGTTTTGTGAGCAGGATCTTTACTTTTGTTTTCTTAGCATTCACATCCAGCTGACAGGTTTTGATGTAGAGTGAATTAGAAAGAGATATAGTTCAAAGCAGGGTATAACATTGATGTTATTTGATTTTTAACTGAATTTTTTGGAGTTTCTGTAATCTTTTTTCTTTTCTTTTACTGGTAGTTCACTCAATACAAGGCCTAAGGGCCACTCAAGGTAGAGTGTTATTGAGTGAGATTGTTGTAAGGAAGGAGGAAGTGCTTTAAATATGTAATATTTTAATGATCCTGGCCCTACTGGGAATTATTTGCTTTTTAACTCTAATTTTTTAAGTGTATACAGAAGGTCCTCAGGTTACATCGGACCCAATGTATGGCATTTTGTGGTTACAGCACCATCTCTTATAATACGTCATCATGCAGTGATATATGAGGAAGACGACATTGTTTCTTCACTGGCTGTACGCCATATTGGATCATGCTACATTCGCTATCGCTCGTTTGTGCCATTTTGGGGGGAATTTTTTGCTCTTCATTATGGCTCCTAAGCGTAAGGCGGACTTGTGGGTGCTTATGTAGGTGAGTTCTGACCTATGTCGAAAATCAGGTTACGTTGTGCCGCAGGAAAAGATATCCAATATAAGTCGAGGTCCCCCTGTATAATGGTATCTTTTGATGAAACAAGCTATTCTGAAGAAATTTAGGTGCTGCTGCTGCTGCTTGAGTCCTCATCTGTTTAACCATTTAAGGCATCACAATCAACAATTAAGCATCTTACACTTGTGGGAGTCCTCAGTATGATGATAAAGTACATCCAGAAGCAAGGCCTCTTTATCAGGAGATAGGAGGTTTTGAGGAGTGTGGAACCACCTCTTAATTGCTGACCCAGAGTGGTAACACCTGTTAGGGTCCCAGCTATGGGCAAATAGTGAATCTTCCAAACAAAAACAAAACACTATGAAAGAGTAGAAATACATTTTTATAGTGGAAGTACTAGCAATACATTTTGATATAAAAAGAAAATGACCAACAATATATTTTTAAAGCAAAATGACCAACAATACATTTTATTGTAGTTGAAGGCATACAATTACATTCAAAATATATTTAGTTGAAGCCATAAAATTGTATTCAAAATATTTAGATTTCAGCTTTAAATGATCCAGAGAGGTTGATATACCACTAAACAAAATCTGCCAACATGAAAGAACTCTTTCATGACATTAATCTATATAATATCTTACAATTTCTTAAAGAAATCAAACTGTATTCCAAAATATAAATCCAACAAAACTAGAACATAAAACACACATCACTGTAATTATGTCCGTACAGACATTTATATGTATAAAAGCTGAGTATCATCTACCATGTATTCAATTGTGAAAGCAGAATGACATAGTTTTATTACTTCAGAACTCTTAAGAAAATTAAATTTCAGCATTAAATGACCCATAAGTTGATATGTCATTAAACAAACAAATCAATCCACTTGTGGTCTTCATTTCATGGAAAAACCTACCATACTTAAAATAGTTAAACTTATAAAAAAAACTGCTCAAACTCACAGGAACTGCTTTCAGAATTCGAAAAGTGTGAAGAAATAAAACTATTTGACTGTATGGACCAAAACCAGTTTAAGTATTTTAAGTATGGCACAGAGAATGGGAGCACTTATCTTCTTGCATTTGCAAACACTCTTCAGGTAATTTCAAACATTTTGAACCAGTTTGACTTTTACATATACACTAAATTATAGTGTATAACAAAATAATTGCCTCAGAATAAAATGTAAAAATAAAAGAAATCAGGAAAATCTAAAGAAGGCAATTATTTTGCATTAAAAATAACTATTTTTGCAACAAAATAATTACCTCAGAATACAATGTAAATATCAAAGAAATTAAATGGAGTTACATTTTCTACAAAATAATTTCCTCAATATACAATATTAAAACTAAAGAAGGCATGAAGAAGGTAGGAGGATGCAACAGCCAAAATGCTGTGATAATAACAACAAAGATGGGCCTTTATTCAATCCATTGCTGTCTGTGTTAGACACTATCTCGTACCATTTAATTTTATTACTTCATCCTTTGTCTCTTCTTTTGAAGCAGAGTAAATGAGTTTTTATTTCTGTGTGTAATGTTGATTAAATAAAATGCTTAGTTTGAAATTTCCAGATTATCAACTATGACGGATACACAGGGCCGGCTCAAAGTACTGACTACTCGGACAGTCGCCTGGAGCACTATCAAGGCCAAAGGTGCCATCATGCTGCCAAGTCATGTGTTTGGAATCTTCCAAAACTAAAGCTTATAAATACATACTTTTGGTCATCCATAATTCAAGACAGATTAAATTCTTTGGCTATTTTGTCAATAGAAAATGATCTTGTAAGGAAGATAGGTGTAGAAAATGCTGTAAAAAGATTTGCACATCTAAAGCTAAAAAAATGTTTTAGGTAGGATAATAAATGTTTTCTTTAGCTTGTATTAAGTTGTATATTGTAATAAGCTTATTATTTTACATTTTCAGTTTTTCTCTTTGTGAAAATTAAAAAAAATTATACTTGTAAGGTTGCCAAAGTTCAGCTAACCCAGAGTGCCAGTAACCCTATTGCCATCATTGCAGACACATAAAGGAAGTTGGAGGTCATAGCAATTGAAATGTTATGACTATAACGACCAAAATAAGGATATCCATCCAAACAATGCAATAAATTCAGACAAGAGAGAAATTTCACAGGCATACACTGGAGGACATAAGTTACCTTCTATGGTGTTATATAAGCAGCTGAGTGGCCAGGGACCAATTGTATTTTTGTATTTGTATCTTGTTGGTATGAGAATAAAGTAATTCAGAATTACTACTACCATTGTCATTGTGGTTATATTACAAGTATGTTGTTCAAATTTAAGTGAATTTAATTTTCTTCAGAAAAAACGTCATTATTCAGTTTGTTTCTTTAGTGAACCATTTGTATACAGGTACACCACTGTACTCGTTTTATACATAATTGTAATGCATTCATATAATAAAATCAGTTCCAATGTATCTCATGTTTGGTTGATTTTTTTTTACAGTAATGTTCACCCTGTACAAGGCCCAAGAGCCACTTGAGGTAGAGGATTATGTTAAGAGGCTGTTTATATGGATAGAAAGGGAAGATAACAGTTAACTCTAGACATGAACAGGTTAAGATTGTAGTGATTGGAGAAACATTCTCTTGAGAGTCCATTCCACAGAGCAGTGGTTCATAGGAAAAAGCTGTTCAAGTTACTTCTCACTGATGAAATACAGAGGGAATGTCGGTGGTTTGCTACAATGTGTGTAGCATGGTAGGTTATAGCCATGAAGGTTAGAACTGGTGGAACCTAGGAATGTAGTTCATCTGTGCACTTTCCATGTTTGGCGGCATATCAACATCTCTATGGGTTATTTAATGCCAAAATTTAAATATTTTGAACACATATCTTGAACTACAGATAAAATATATTGTTAGTCATTTTGCTATAAATAGATATTGCTGGTAATTTTACTATAAATATATATTTTTATACTTTCATAGAGTTTTGTTTTTGTTTGGGGTTCAGTATTTACCAATAGCAGGCAACCTAACAGGTGTTACCATCCCAAGTCAGGGTGGAGCTGGAAACAACAGCAATTAAGACAAATGCATGTCTGTAAAGGCTTTTAGTATTTATTGTATCATAACATAAAGAATCAAAAAGATGACATTTATTTTCAAATTTTCATGCCATATCAAAAATCACGCCAGTTATTATACGATAGGTTATTATTTTAATTGAGATCACCATACTTGTAATTATAGTCATTTTTTTAGTTTTCTTTTTCCTCTTTTCTTTCTCTTCTTTTTCTCTCCTTTCTTTTCTTTCCTTTTTCTCTCCTTTCTTTCTTTTCTTTTCTTTCATTTCTTTTCTCTCCTTTTTCTTTTTCTCTCCTTTTTTCTTTTCTCTCCTTTCTTGCTTTTCTTTTACTCTCCTTTCTTTCTTTTCTTTTTCTCCCCTTTCTTTCTTTTCTTTTCTTTCATTTCTTTTCTCTCTTTTCTTTTTCTCTCCTTTCTTTCTTTTCTTTTCTTTCATTTCTTTTCTCTCTTTTCTTTTTCTCTCCTTTCTTTCTTTCCTTTTTCTTTCTTTTCTTTCTTTTCTTTTTCTCTCCTTTCTTTCTTTTCTTTTTCTCCCCTTTCTTTCTTTTCTTTTCTTTCATTTCTTTTCTCTCTTTTCTTTTTCTCTCCTTTCTTTCTTTCCTTTTTCTTTCTTTTCTTTTTCTCTCCTTTCTTTCTTTTCTTTTTCTCTCCTTTCTTTCTTTTCTTTTTCTCCCCTTTCTTTCTTTTCTTTTCTTTCATTTCTTTTCTCTCTTTTCTTTTTCTCTCCTTTCTTTCTTTCCTTTTTCCTTCTTTTCTTTTTCTCTCCTTTCTCTTTCCTTTTTCTTTCTTTTCTTTTTCTCTCCTTTCTTTCTTTTCTTTTTCTCTCCTTTCTTTCTTTTCTTTTTTATCTCTCCACTCCTTTTCCTTACTTTTCTTACATTTCATTTTTTCTCTCTTTGCAATTTTTCTTTAATTCTTTTTCTCTTTTTTCTTTTTCTCTCCCTGCTCATTTTTCTTTCATTCCTTTTCTTTTTCTCACTCTTCTCTTTTTCTTTCTGTTCTTTTCTTTCCCTCTCTTCTCTTTTTCTTTCTTTCTGCTATTTCTTTTTCGATTTTTTCTTACTTTTCTTTCTTTCTCTCTCTTTTCTTTATGTATTCTTTCTTTTCCTTGTCTCTTATTATTGTTTTTAATCATTCACTTCTTTTTTTTCTTTTTCCTTCTCCTTTTATATTTTCTTCTTTCATTTTTCCTTCATCCTCTTAATGTTCCTAATCCCAGCATCACTCGCCACTCCCAACCATTTCTCTCTCCCACCCATTTTTTTTTGATGTCTCATTCTTTTTGTTTGCTTTCTTTTTTTTCACTTGTCATCTCATTCATTGTTTTGGTTGACCTGATTGGTGTCGGCTTCTGTCTAAGTCAAGGTGATTTGGTGTAGAGGGGGTAGCATTGGTAAAGAGGGTGCTAAGGAAGAACTAGTGAAGTAGATGGGCATAGGTAGATGGGTACAAAAGGATATTTTTTTTATTCTGCACACTCAAAGACCTTTTTGTAGAGACAATCCTCTGGCAGCAATAACATCTCACACCCCAGCCCCACAGGGAACTTTCCATACCATCCCCCAACATACAATAGCAACAGCACTCATCACTCATCATACTTTATCTTATAATTTTCACACAAAAATTATGCTTATGTATTTGTATGAGGAGGTGCTGAAAAGGTCTCAGCTCTGACTACTTCCCCCCTTTTTTGGGGAAATGCTTTTTTGTTAGCTTGAGAACATTTCAGCACACCTTTATACAGGGTGCGATGGGTAAATTGTCGCTATTTATATTTTTAATTTTATGTATATAAGGGTTGCGATGGATAAATTGTCGTTATTTTATATTTTTAATTTTGTCCATGTGTGTTGTTTGTTTTTGATGTTGTCGACTGCACAGTATAGCAGGGTTAGTTGGGCACCATCTGTGAGAAATAGAGCACCATAATGCAATTCACTCTGCCAGAAATTTGAGAATGGCATGCTGTACTGCTTGGCATTTATGCCGGAAGCTCCAATACAATCATTTTAGAGTGTTTGAGTGTCAATCTGTGGACAGTTCAAGGATTTGGAAAGAGTTGAATGATATATCCAGTCAACATCATGGAGTTTGGAATGATCTCTAGTGATGTCAACATTATACATGCATTCATTCTTCCACTATGTCTGACAACAGGACTCGGCACTATGCCAAACAAGCAGAAGAACCTAGTCATGGCTTTCAGACAATTTCTGCAGCTACATCACCTCTTACATCTGGCCACCTAATCCCCCAAACTGCAATCTCTTTGATTATTATGTGTGGGGTGCAGTTGAGTGAGAAACCAACAAAACTTCTTGTAACACTAAAGATGAACTGTAGGTAAGGATTATGGCAGCATTCACCAACTTAAGGAGACCGTCCAGAAGAGTTGCAAGAGATTTCAAAGTTGTCTGGAGGCCATGGTTGAAGCCAATGGTGATATTATTGAACAAATTTGCTCTTTAGTATTTCAAGATATTTTTGTGTAATTTTAGTAAATATAACTGTTAATTTATCCATTGCACCCTGTATATCTGTTAAATTGTGATGTCAATGTTATTTTCATTTTTGCGTAATTTAGACGACAATTTATCCATCGCACCCTGTATATCTGTTGAATTGTGATGTCAGTGTTATTTTCATTTTTGCGTAATTTAAACGACAATTTAACCATCGCACCCTGCGTATGTGATCACATTTCTATATTTGTGTATATATCTTTATGAATATGTTTGTACCGTATTTGTCCCATATGCATCAAATATTGTTGTGACATCTGGTCTGGTGCATCTGCTATGTATCTAAAGATTCTTAACAGAATCCAAAGAAAAATCTGTAATGTTATCTGTCCTGATCTGGCATCTAGGCTTCAGACACTCATCATTGTAACATAGCTTCCCTGGGCCTTCTCTATTAATGTCTCATTCTACCTTTCCTATCAACCATGATCTTCAAAATTTAAATGCAATGTCAATTGTCTTTTTGAATCCTGTTTTTCTTATTATCCTTTCTCCTCAGTAACATTTCCACAGTTCCCTACAATCTCAGTAAACCTTTGCATCTTAGTGGCTTTACAGCCTTGCTTGGGGTGAAATAATTAAAACAAAAATACATACATTAGCCTATAGCATGAAAAAGTGCATAACACAAACTTATAATTTGGCAAAGGATATTTAAGAAATAATGAATAATATCTAACCAATGATTTATACATACTTGCACAATGTGATTTTTAGACATTATTATCTTTTGGAATCATAATTTGTACTTTATAATCATATAATAGGAGGCACAGTGGAGTAATGGATAGTGGCTTGGGTTGAGGAATCAGAGAGCTGAGTTCAAATTCCAATCAAATCCATTACATTCACTTATGTGCTAATACCTTTGGGAAAGATATGAACCCTCTTCTTCTCCCCCCCATTTAAGGGTAAATAGCAGGACAGATTGGGTTCTACCACAGAAATAAATGGCTACCTACTGCTGGAAAAAATCTGCTTTGTCAGTCATGTATCAAAAGATACATGATCGCCTAAGTGTGTATCATGCATGGCACATAACTGACTGATAATCATATAAATTTAATTCTGGAGCCATCAGAGGTCTATAATGTCAAACAGGAGTTTTTAATATTTTAACATTATTTTGTTTTGGAATCATAATTTGATACTTTATCTATATATATAAAGTTGTAGCCTCTGTCTGTTTCTTTCTTATCAAACTCCCCCTGGGATTTTGCAGATAGACCCCCATGACCTCATATATTCTGAAACTACATTACCCAAGGTACATGAATAAGTATATTTCATTTTACTAAAAGGGGATGACTGAGGGCACTCCCCTCAAAATGTTTTTCCCTTTGATATAAATTAAATTTGAACAAAGGAATGACTCCTATTCAAAATATAGAAAGAGAAAGCCAGAAGATCAAGGTCACATCAGCAAGATCAAAATGAGACAATATGGATGTCAAGCTGAGCAAGAAGTCACCAATCAGTGGATAGTGCCTTACAATACATATTTGTTGCAATAATTCAACTGTCATATCAATGTTGAAATGTGCTCATCAATTCATTCAATCAATTATTGCATGAAATCCATATCAATGGGGTCAGATCAAACTGTTTTTGCATACCCCCCCCCAATTGAAAACATTTTTCTCTTTGATCTAAATTAAATTTAAATTTGAACAAGGGAGTAACTCATATCCAAAATATAAAAGGAGAAAGCCAGAAGATGGAGATCACATTGGCAAGATCATTGAGTAATATTGAAATGCATCATTTTTCTCCACAAATTATAACAATGATTTAAAATCAATCATTTTCTTGCAAAAAAATGTGTGACTTGCAGCAAGGTGTGGATAATTTGGCTATTAATCATATCAATTTAATTCTGGAGCCATCAGTTGATTATAGTGTCAAACAGGAGCTTTTAGCATTATTTTGTCATTATCATCAACTTTTAAGGAACCTATAATTTGCTGCCTATAAGACTAGGCCAAAACATTACTCCTCCTCCACACCAGTTTTCTGCTGAGTCAAATTTCTATGAAGGTCCTAACATTTTTAAAGACAGTTTTCTAAAAGTACCTAAAATTCAATAAAACATTAGAATATTTCCCAAGATTTTAAGATTACTGTATAGTTAAAAATTTATGTAAAAAAGGGTGCTCACATTATATTTATCAAGTAATTTTTACGGATATGTAAAAAATCAGCCATTTTTAGCCATCTAAAAAAAAATTCATTACAATCAATATAAATTCTTTTTTGAAAGAGTAAAGTATTTTGCTTATTGGAAATATTAAATTTAATCTATTAGTTTGAAATTAAAACAAAAATAAAAGTGTCTAAAAAGATTTTTCACTTTTAAAAATTCATTTTAAATCTTAGGTTTTGCTTTTCTTTAGAGATATCTATCAATATATATATATATATATATATAAATGTATATATGTGATAAAATATAGTTTTAATGTATGCTATATTTATGGGTTAAAGTGCTCAATACCAGGGATAGACCATATGTAAATATAAAAGTGGACATTGAAATCAACATCCGGAAGCAACAGTCTGTTTCATGCTAAAAGGAATTGCCAGGCTATGTATGTTGTGTTTTTACTTGACTATTTATATATACAGGTCAGTGATGCATTGTGGGTAGTCTATTGTATTATTCTAACAGTTATTTTGGTGGGCAGTAACAGTTTCAAATTATTCTGGGGGCTATTGTGTTGGGACAAATGCTGGATTCAAATGTAGTTATTTGGCTTTTTATAGTGTTGTTTGTTAACTTTTTTTATTTATTATTGATTATTTTATTGTTGGTTGTTATTATTACATTTCCTTGTGTTTATCTTTATGTACATGGTTTGTTAATTTATTTATTATTTACTTTGTTTATTTACTTATTTATTTATTTGGATTCATTTATTTTTCTTGTTTTTGTTTATTTATTTATTTTCATTTATTTTTGTTCATTTTCAGTTTTTGATTTTTAGGTAATTTGTTAAGTAGAAATTTGTTTTCATGTCTGTATTTTGAGATGAGTTTTGATCATTTATTTAGTAGTTTATAGGAAGGTAATGCTATGAATAATCAAGAGTGGTCTTCCCTTGTTTCGTTACTCTACTCTTTGAGAGAGTTATTTCTGTTTACTGGGAGTATAAAAGGACACTATATGCGAATCTTGTATTCTCAGTTAAATAAAGCTTTGTTAAAGTCTACACCTGCATACTTTTGTCATTACAGGTAATTATAGCTATTTTTTCTCCGGGTAGAGTTTACAGTTTTAGGATTAATTGTTGTAGGTTGATGTTGTTTTCTTTATTTTCCATGATATTTTTGGTAATTTATATATATATATATATATATATATAAAGGTGGCCTGGTAATTGTGTCCAGCATGAAACAGCCTGTCGCCTCTGAGAGTTGACTTCAATGTTCACTCTTATATATATATATATATATATATATATATATATATATATATATGCAGGAGTTATATATGATGGCAGTTTACCTAATAAAATTTGTAGTGTGTATACTTCACATTTTTATGAAATAAAAAGATTTTAGGAAATGTAATCCACAGAAATGTTCTCCAATAATCAACAAAATTCACAGTTTAACAATTACACTTCTTGCATTCTATTTAACAATTTCACTTCTTTTATTGTATTCAATAATTTAAACTACTTATATTCTCTTTAACACTTTGTAGGAGAGTTATAACTCTGAGTAAATAATTATAAAGCCCCTAAAATTTATATATACAAAAATACTCGTAAAAAGGAGAA